CGTGTCGATCGTCTCGATCTCGATCTACGTAGATCTACGTAGTCCGGTAAAGAACAGGCAACCAGACTGGATGAATGGCCAGTGGTGGACAAGCGTGATTTTCTCCGCAGCAAATTAAAGTCGATTTAAATTTAAACTCGGCCACCAAATCTTTCAAGCTACCTTAAATCTTCGGGGACTCGCAACGCGAACGAAAGCACGCACTGGTGCGTGCGCGAAGCCGAGAGTTCGACGAATGCGTATACACGGTCCGTGTGCATAGACTCACTGTAGCACGCTATACACATAGAAACGCACTCGCACACAAAACTACGTTTCACACACACCACAAGTAGTAAAACGCATTCGAAGTAGAGGGCAGATCTGCCTCTACGGTCTACGTCTTGCCGACCTTATATTAGGATGATTAGGCCATCCTTATATTAGGATGATTCTCTATCTTCTCTGTATGATGCACCTTCCTGCATTACGTGGTACATGCTCGCCTGTTCAAACTTGAACAAAGCATACATATTGAGCCTAGAACATCGACCAGTTGCGTGCCAGAAGATCTTAGTCGATTTAATACTCCTTCATTGAACCTTTTATCGATGCGACGAAATCATCGATCTAGCGTTAAATCGTCTTCGAGTCTTGAGGTATATAAAATTTCTCGATACGGAGTGTGTACGCTCGTTCTAACTTCCGACACCACAGTTCATTCAACCTTGCGTTTTGTTCGCCTATTTTCATTCGTACTCGACCAACTCTGCTCCTCTCTTTCTCTCGGTAAATAGTTGTCCGTTGAAACCTTCGTTCTACCGAATCGGCCACACTGGACAGGGTCGCGAGCAAAGAGGGAAAGACCTCAAACGTACAAAACTCTTGCTCGCGCATACAAAGTCCGGACTATAATATATCGGCGGCGGAATAAAATTTCCTTCGATTCCGTTACGCACCGCGTGCGCGATTCACGCAACGTTCCCTAACCAAACGAATGCACACGGTCACGCGGTCGGGTTCGAACGCAAGAACCCGATGTGTGACGTGTCCCTTCCTTTCGATCGTGTGGGTTGCCCTGTGGGAGTCCCTCGCAGCTTTCTTATTCCCGGCTATTCCTTCCTCTCTTTCTCTCTGCTTTTTCCAGCCGTCTCCTCTTCTGGAGACACGGACGAGAAGCGGATACGTGTGTACGTGCGTACGTGAGTCTTCGCCGCGCGATCCGAGCTCCCGTACGAATATATTACTATCGTGTTCGAAAAAGAACGCAACCGCAATAACTCTTTCACCGCGAGCCCGCGACCAAGCGTGGCCATCTCTGCTCCTCCTCCTCTCATCCTTTTCTTCTCTCGACAATGCCCACTTGTTTTTTCGTTCGATCGACTGGCCCGAATTAAAGGCGACGCGAGCGTTGACTGCCCCTTCGACGACGGCCAACCGCGAGTCCAGTCGTTTAGAGAGAGGATCGACATCGATCGATGCAAGATCGCGCCGCGGTAGGTCCGCGATAGCGAATCTGGAATTCATGTAAATAGATTCGACGAACTTGATCGATCCTCCCCCC